CTTTCTTGGGTAAATGAATCTAGTGAAACAAGAGCAAAGGGTCTATGTCAGTAAAATTTTTGAAAAGACAACCTTTAGTGCATTCCAGAGTACTTTTATTATACCCAACAGAAATTGTCCATTTGGGGACTCAAATTTGAGGGGAATAAAAGTCATTTTGAATAACATACGCAAGTTTTCTTAATAGAGGTGTGTGTGCGCTCTAGTAGAAGTACTATTTTGAAATTGCTGCCTCTTCTAACCTAGATGCATTTTCCAAATAATCTTAAAGAAATTATGGTCACTTAACAAGCCTTGTCAGCAGCTCTGGAGAGTGGCACAGCTGAATGGTGGTAGAGCTGGGACTGGAACTGCTGCTTTGATACCCATGATGCAGTACATCCTTCCTCTTTTTTGCTGCAAAGCTTTGTCCTTTGATGGTAAATTTAATTTTTGAAAACCACCAAAAGTCACAAATAAGGTGAATGACAAGATTTAATAATCCACTCTTGGTCCAAAATGAGCCGGCTTTAACAAGAGTGTTTTCCTTGAATGTTGTAGCTAATAGCCTATAAATACATTTCTAAGACCAAACCAAAAAAGGACAACAGGGAATGATGAAATTAGAATATCCAATCTGCTTCATCTCACATCTACACAACAGTCTCAGAATAAGAATTCTAATACTACCATTACTAATTATGATCGCTGAAGACAATTTTTTTTTTAATTTTGATAAAGTCCAAATTATCAGTGTTTTGTGTTGTGGATTGTGTTTTTTGGAGTTTTTCTGTTTTGTTTTGCCGCACCGTGCACGGCTTATGGGAATCTTTAGTTCCCCGACCAGGGATCGAACCCATGCTCCCTGCAGTGGAAGGGCAGAGTCCTAACCACTGGACCGCCAGGGAATTCCCTAAAAACAGTTAAACAAATTTTAATTGAATATGCTTGCTTCTTTCTGGTCCCTGCTCCCCCCCACCCGCATGCTTTTTTTGGGTGTACTAAACCTTCATTGGTTGCTTATCAGATCACATAGCCATTGTATATTGTACTCTGTCTTTTAACCTCATTTAGACTTGATTTTCTAAGTAGCTATATGTTTAATATAGTACCACCAGTTCTTAAATCAGTGTCTCTGGTCATTTTGGTCTAAATCTTGTTCTCTAGTTCCAGGGGTGGCAAAGACCTTTCTGAAAAGGGCAGGATAGTAAACATTTAGGCTTTGAGGGCCAAAAACAATCCTGTCACATATTTTGTGTGTGTGTGTGTGTGTGTGTGTGTAACATCTCTTTAAAACCATTCTTTGCTTGAGGACTGCCCTAACATACATCTGGCTGCAGTTTGCCATCCGCTACTCTAGTAGTTTCCGGAAGAAGTGCTCCTGGCATCAGTGTTCCGGTTTTGCTGGATGTAAAATCCTTGGCTCGTGTACTGATGAGCCATATATATAAAGTTTGACGTATATTTGAAATACGTAACTTCATTTTCTTCTGGTATAAAACATTGCAGTTGAAGTCCGGTGATGCTCTAATTGTCCTTGTAAGTCACTTGCTGCTTTTGCCTAGAGCCCAAGGGATTTTTTTTCTTTTTTTTCTTTTTCTTTGCAGCCCAGTTGGTGTTGGTCATTCTGGGTTGATAATTCTCAGGTATGTGTGTCCATGATACATGTTTTTTTTAACCTCATAATTTTTTCCTCTTAAACCATTCACTTTATTTTTTTCCAGCTTTATTGAGGTATAATTAACAAATCAGAATTGTATGTATTTAAGGTAAACCACACGATATTTTGATGTTAGTAAACGTTGTGAAATAATTACCTCAGTCGAGCTAATTAACATATCTCACTCACATAGTTACCCTGTGTGTTTGAGGGAGTGGGGACGTGAGATCCCTTTAGATCTCCTCTCTTTAGAGGATGTCAAGCATGGAATACACTATTGTTAACTGTAGTCACCATGCTGTACATTAAACCTCCAGAACTTAATTCATCCTGCGTGATTGAAACTTTGTGCTCCTAAAAGTTTTCTCGATTTTTAGTTTTTGTTTCATTTCCTGATATGTTGCATCTTCGCCTAAAATTAGTACATAATGTTTGCCACTGCCTCTTAAACGATTTCTCTGCTCATTTCTTTCTGGTATGTTTTTTGTTACGAATTCCTTGTATTGCCTCACTTCTGAGTTTTCTAATTTAGGCTCTTCTGTCATTGTCTTATCTTTTAGCTCATTTTGCAGCAGGACATAATTTTGATTGGCTTCCTCGCCGTCTGTTTCCAGCACACGTTTATTGTCTGAACAGACGCCAGTCTGTTGTTCCTTATTCACTTCACGTGAAGGTTTTTCTAAGTTTTTAGAAGGAAGTGTGGCTCGGGATAGTCTTTCTGGCTTCACGTAACTCCTCAAACCTTCGACTCCTGTTGGACACTGCTACCCTCTTTTTCACATGCCTTTTCACGTGGTACTTGCTTTTTATCACAGCAGCTACCCCAGAACTCAGCTTGGCAAGGATATGATGGCATTAAAAGGATGTAGAGCAGTCCTGTTGAAAGTGAGCTGCGTCAAGCTGGTCCTTTGCCTAGAGCCTGACAAATGTCACATACTGGAGCCCCTGTGCATTTGCTGTGACGCCCTGTGACAGTTTGGTCGACTGTTAGGGTGATGCTGCTGCTGCTGATCTGGAAACCACACTTGAGAAAACAGTAGGACTTTTTTTTTTTTTTTTTTTTTTTTCCAATTTATTTTATTTTTTGGCTGTGTTGGGTCTTCCGTGATGCGCGCGGGCTGTCTCTAGTTGCAGCGAGCGGGGGCTACTCTTCATCGCGGTGCATGGGCTTCTCATTGCGGTGGCTTCTCTTGCTGCAGAGCACGGGCTCTAGGCGTGCGGGCTTCAGTAGTTGCAGCACGCGGGCTCAGTAGTTGTGGCTCACATGTTCAGCAGTTGTGGCACACGGGCTCTAGAGCACAGGCTCAGTAGTTGTGGTGCACAGGCTTAGTTGCTCCGCAGCATGTGGGATCTTCCTGGACCAGGGCTCGAACCCATGTCCCCTCCATTGGCAGGCGGATTGTTAACCACTGTGCCACCAGGGAAGCCCCCAGTAGGACTTTTTACTGCCTTTTACTTATTTGTTTGTTTGTTTATTTTTTATTTGTGTGTGTGTGTGTTAGTTTCTGCTGTATAACAAAGTGAATCAGCTATACATATACATATATCCCCATATCTCCTCCCTCTTGCGTCTCCCTCCCACCCTCCCTATCCCACCCCTCTAGGTGGTCACAGAGCACCGAGCTGATCTCCCTGTGCTATGCGGCTGCTTCCCACCGGCTATCTGTTTTACATTTGGTAGTGTATATATGTCCATGCCACTCTCTCACTTTGTCCCGGCTTACCCTTCCCACTCCCCGTGTCCTCAAGTCCATTCCCTACGTCTGCATCTTTATTCCTGTCCTGCCCCTAGATTCATCAGAATCTTTTTTTTTTAATTCCATATATATGTGTTAGCATACGGTATTTGTTTTTCTCTTTCTGACTTACTTCACTCTCTGTGACAGACTCTAGGTCCATCCACCTCACTACAAATAACTCAATTTCGTTTCCTTTTATGGCTGAGTAATATTTTTACTGCCTTAAAAAAAAAAACCCAAAAAACTAGAAGTACAGAAGAAAGATTTTCAGAGTTGTACTGCCAGCCAAGAAGAAAATTCCTCTGGACCCATGTACTCAGATAGGCAAACAGATTTATTAAAAGGAATTTAATATATTCAGATCAAACAGTTTCGGGACAGGTGTGTGCGTGTGTTCACGCGTGTGTGTTTGAGAGAACAGGCTTGCTGGCAGTTGCACGTGCACAGAAATGTATGTTGGGAAAACTGGTGTGTTTCTTTGCCTCCATCTAGCTTTCTTGTTGGGGAACTACTTTTGAGTTGAGGAAAGGGAACAATAGAAAGCATGCTTGCATGCTTGTTAACCCTTGGTGGTGAACACTTGAGTCTGCTTTTGTGACCTGCTACAGCACGTTCCATCAACCGCTAGTTTCAGATGCAATCAGCTTGCCAAATAATACGTTTTGTGAAGGAAACTTGGTGTCCTGCAAGAGGAGGCCAGGACTTGGACGGGGTAGGGAAATCCAGGTTCCTCCATACCAGGAACCGCGCACGGAATCGAGGAGGTGGTTCCAGGTAGAACGTGCCCCTAACTCACACTATAATGAAGAGGCAACAAGGCTGACCTCGCAAGGAGCAGGTGGCTACTTACAAGTGAGGTGCGGGCACAGCTCCCCTCACGCGGACTTGTTGAAGGTTGTGCTCTAGTCTCCTTAGTGAGTTAATGTCCAGTTGGATGACAGTAGGAAGCCTCGGAAGTGCACTGACGGTGCCTCCTGCACCTCTCCTCACCCTTTCTCCTCCCAGGATCCCAGAAAATGTGGGCAACTCCCTCTGCTCCCAACCCCGTTTCTGACTTGTTAAAAGTCTGGCAATCGATAGTAGATTACAGACCATACTGCTCCGTGATGTTCGGAGTCCCACAGAGAGCCAGATCCCTGGTGTACAGTTAGCATGGGCGAGAAGTGGGATATGGACTTAATCCGGCCGTTTCTCCCCACAGCAGAGGCATCTGTATAGGTGACATGGCTAGGGCAACAGCCTGCTCTAACCGAACAGGATTAACTGGGCTTTCTGATACCTGGCTCTGTACACACTGGTCTTCACGTTCTCACTTAAAATGCACAGAAAAAGGAATATGGATTTTGTTTAGCCATGCTTTCACGAGACTGTGTCTGTAAATTATAAAGACAGATCCTAGGTTAGAATAAGCCATAAAGATCGAGGTATCTCAACAGCGGTATTTCATGTACCCGCCCTAAGAGAAAGCTAGAACCCGGAAACTCCTTTAATCCACCCTGTAGAACGCGAACGTGGCAACATCGCCCTAAAGTGAGCTCGCGAGCCTGCATCTTCCGGGGACAGTAAGTGCCTTGTCTTCCGGCGAGGAGCCGGGCGAGTGACTGTGCTTTCCTTCCCCGCAGCGTGTCCCATGGGAAGCGGCACAAGCCGGCTCTACAGCGCTCTCACCAAGACCCTGGACGGCAGCTCCGCCTCCCAGCACCCAGAGTATCTGGTGGCCCCCGACCCGGAACACCTGGAGCCCATTGATCCTAAAGAGCTCCTTGAGGAGTGCAGGGCCGTCCTGCACACGCGGCCTCCCCGCTTCCAGCGGGGTTTCGTGGATCTGAGGGCCGACGGCCCCAGTAGTAGCCACACACCCATCCGGGTCATGCAGTGGAACATCCTTGCCCAAGGTACGTCTGCGCGCAGGGAGAGGGGCGGGGCGCCTGGGGAGCTCCCACACGGGGAGGCTAGGAAGGGGTGTCGTCGGGCTTTCACTGCCCAATCCATCAGCTGAAGACGTACTCCTTCCGCTCCACGTGTGCAGACTTTCCGTGCTCGGGGGAAGTGTCTGCTTCGCGGCACGTGCTTCCTGGCTCCTGTTAGCCCGTAAGCTTTCATCAGTTGTCTCCCGCTTTGAGTCCACAGCACTAAGATAGCACCTGGAAGGGGGAAACGTGAGTCTACCGAACGGGTGACCCTGAACCTTCTGCAGGGGATGGGGGCTGTGTAGGGGTGGGTGCTGAGTCGGGTTACTCCTGAGGCCAGGTTCTTATCCAGACGCCTCTTCATATAATTTGAGGCCAGAGATGTTGCTTCAGTTCTCTGTGCTTTAAGATACTCCTTTGTACGGTAGAAAGGACTCCTTTCCTGGGTCCGCTCAGTTAAAGAACAGGTGTGTCAGTCAACCTTATTGCCGATCATGTGGCAGTTGAAATTTTAAGAAGAAACCAGGGTCACCATTTTTTCTGGAAAAGACGGGCATACTCCCTGACTTTCCACTCTTTGATTCATTTGTTTTTTTCCAGGTGTAGGAAAAAGCTGCCCATTTTAAATGGGTGTCATTTATTCTTGAGTGGTGTCTCTAAAGGCCTAGTACGGCTTATTGTAAGTCCGTGTTGAAAGCAGTCTAGAGAGTTAAATGTATTCACTTCATCTGGCATAGTTTAGATCTCTTGCACGCCAGAGAACACTGTCTAAAGCTAAAACTTAAGAAGATCTCATGTCCTGGAACATAGTGACAAGAAATAGTTTTAATACGAAAGGATCGGTTAGTTGCTTGCTTCATCTGCATGGCAAGAGGTCGGTGCAGTAAGAGAAGAGCCACCCAGGGCACCTGGAGCAGGGGAAGCGCTCTGAAGGTCTTGGGTAGCGTCAAGCCTGAGGAGACTCGCAGGTACTTAGTAGCGGTCCTTAGTCGCTGACCACTGACCGGCTTTTTTCTTTCAGCTCTTGGAGAAGGCAAAGACAACTTTGTACAGTGCCCTCTTGAAGCACTCAAGTGGGAAGAGAGGAAATGTCTCATCCTGGAAGAAATCCTAGCCTACCAGCCCGATATACTGTGCCTCCAAGAGGTGGACCACTACTTTGACACCTTCCACCCCCTCCTCAGTAGACTGGGCTATCAGGGCACGTTTTTCCCCAAGCCCTGGTCACCTTGTCTGGATGTGGAACACAACAACGGACCGGATGGCTGTGCCTTGTTTTTCCTCCAGAACCGATTCAAGCTGGTCAACAGTGCCAACATCAGGCTGACGGCCATGACGTTGAAAACCAACCAGGTGGCCATTGCCCAGACCCTAGAGTGCAAGGAGTCCAGCCGACAGTTCTGCATCGCCGTCACCCACCTGAAGGCTCGCACTGGCTGGGAGCGATTTCGATCGGCTCAAGGCTGTGACCTTCTCCAGAACCTGCAGAGCATCACCCAGGGAGCCAAGATTCCCCTTATCGTTTGTGGGGACTTCAACGCAGAGCCGACAGAGGAGGTCTACAGACACTTCGCCTCCTCCAGCCTCAACCTGAACAGCGCCTACAAGCTGCTGAGCGCGGACGGGCAGTCGGAACCCCCGTACACGACCTGGAAGATCCGGACCTCGGGCGAGTGCCGCCACACTCTGGATTACATCTGGTATTCCAAGCACGCGCTCAGCGTGAGGTCGGCCCTGGATCTGCTCACCGAGGAGCAGATTGGACCCAACCGCCTACCGTCCTTCAATTACCCCTCAGACCACCTGTCCCTAGTGTGCGACTTCAGCTTTAACGAGGAACGTTGATGGACATTTATACGTGCTTGTCTGTGTCTCCCAAGTCTTAACCAGGGACGTTTCAGGAAGCTGAAATAAGATGAGAGGTTGACTGAGGAAGGCTCCCCAGTTCCTCTCACTTCACTTTCCATGTCTCCAGCATGCCCTTGGGAAGGAACCCCATTTGCTCACAAACCTTTTCCATTAAAACCTACAGCGAAAAAGGTGTTTGCACTCCAGGTTTGGTTTGTATTGTTTTCTTTCCCTTAGCGTTAATTACATTTTGATCATTTAAGGGCATTATATTTGGCTTTGTTCCGAAGCTCTTTCAGTTTCAGGATCCTATACTGAAATAGACTTGCTCGAATCCCCTGTAATTAACAACGTTTCCAGTTATTTATTTGTGGTTTTTTAAAAATATCAGCAAGTCATGCATGGCAATATTTATTTTTTTTATATCTTCGTGTAAAATTAAGTAAGTAAATTATAGCATTATGAACATTTAAAAACCATGCAAAACATAAGTTATAGAGTAATTCATAGTAATCTTCTTAAAACGTTAAAGATGTTCTTACTTGGGGTCTAATAAAATCGTAGTGTACAAAGGAACCGTTTAGGCTGGAGGGGTTTTTGCTTGCCATTTAAGTGGAAATATCTGTTCTCCTTGATACATTCTTCACAAATCCTTGCTGTGCCTCCGTGTCCCCCATTATTATGTTTCTTGAAGAAATTCCATTTCTGGTTTTCCATCGGAATGCTATCCGTGTACATTTGCGGTCACTCAGAAGTGTCATTATATGTATTGAATATGCTTTGCACAGTAGGTTGTTTCGGAGCTGATATGTGGCAGTGGCTAAGTCAGTGGGACCTTCTTTTCAGAGATGGGAAACTATTTCTAGCCTGTTAATGAGGCTGTCGTTGAGATTTACTAAGATAGCCGGGTGACTGGTTTAAAACAACTAGAAAGCAGAATATAGAGTTAGAAAGACAACCTGGAATTCTCTTCCCTCAGAAATAAAAGTGGTAAAGATAACAGGTGAAACCCCTTCCTAACAAAAATCCCCCCAAAATGGCCCATTGGTAATGAATGGATAGATATTTTAACCCATGAGTTGTAAATATTTAAGATCAATAAATAAATGGTCTTTTAAAGCCAGTGTTTTCGTATCTTGTCTTTTCAATGCAAAGAGAATCTGAGAATAGACTGGATCTTTTAATCCTCTTAATGCGGTGCCCACACCGTCCTTTCCACTCACACCTTCATTTTTAAACTGGACAAAGGTGGATCTGTAGTTGCACGTTGAAGGCATCTGTGCTATGCTTATGAGGCATCGCTCGGTGACAGGGTTGGAGTCCCCAAAGTAGTTCCTCCAGACATTTCTGCATTGGAACCACTTCGGAGACAAATGAGGTTTTCAGTATATGGCATACACGAAATCTTGGGGCTACCTGGAAGGAATGGCAGTTGGGAAGAACATCTGTCATCTGGTTCAGGTCTTAGCATGACTAATTCCTATGTTGTTGAGAAGCAGAATACTGATCCGTACCGCAGGCATTGAATATTGTTTACCTACCGCAAAACACACCAACCTGAAGAGAAATTATCATACCCATATCATAAGCAAATCTGGATGAGAATGGAAGCCAAAAGAGTGTTTGAATTTCAAATGTTGTCCACCAGAACACAAGCTAGCAGGCTGTGGTTTGCGGGTGGAACTGGGGGTGGGTGGGAATGCCACTGAGCAGAAGGGCTTCTGGAATACCAGCAAGTCATCGTTCAGTGTTAGCAGGGCCGCAGGCCCACGCACTTGCCAGTGTGCTTTTGTTGTTCGTAGTTGTCTTCATTTAAAATGCAATCGCGTGAGCATTTTATGTAAACAGGTTTTTAGTAGTATATAAATCTTGATAGGTGGCACCTTTATATTTTATTTTTACTTCCCCTCTAGTCTTTCTTTGCAGGCAGCTCTGCCTTGTGGACCATCAGGGTAACCTGAAGGCATAACAGTAAATAATAAATCTCTGTTCTAGCCTTTTTTTAAGTATGCTCCATTACTGAGTTTCTCTTATTCCATCCCTGTGTACCTCTTGATCCAGCTTTTCCTTTTATATCCCATAATATTTTGATTGTGGTTGTAATTAGAGTCTTAGAAATTGTGCAGATTCTTGACGACAAAGTGAGAGTGGATTTTTTTTTTTTTCTTCTTCATGCCGTATTTCAGTAGACTCCATTCTACGAGGTAGTGGGAATGGCCGCCTCATTTACTTAAGTAAAGCATAATGGTGTATATCTGTATAACATTTGAGTTCCTTATCTTTGGCTCTGAGGGCTTTACATATGATCTTAAAACTACTCTTAATTTAAAATGGGGCTTAAAAGGTCCACATAATTTGACCAAATTCTCAGCTAATTCGTAGAGACAGGATTCACCCTCAGGTCTGTCATGACCCCAAAGGGCTCCCTCCCTTCCCCCCACCATGTGCCCTTGGTCTTGAGTGAGCGCACATGGGGAGGAAAGTAATATTCTGGGCGTGGAAGAGATTTGTTGAATGCAAAATGGTCAAACACATAAGTCATACTTTTATAGCACACATACAGTATAGAGTTAGAAGCACGATACAGAGGCTGAATAGTGGCTGTAGAGCGGACTTCAGTGACTCGGATGTAATAGTAAAGCAGTACTGCCAAAATTAGAACCTCTGATACCGTTTGCATAGTTTGATGGTGGCTTTTCTTTAAAGGAAGCAGTAAGAGCTGTAGTAGTGTTTCAAACTAAAGGAGGAAATTGATGCAAATATTCTGTATTTGAATCATTCTTTTTTTTTTTTTTTTTTTCGGTACGCGGGCCTCTCACTGTTGTGGCCTCCCCCGTTGCGGAGCACAGGCTCCGGACGCGCAGGCTCAGCGGCCATGGCTCACGGGCCCAGCCGCTCCGCGGCATGTGGGATCTTCCCGGACCGGGGCACGAACCTGTGTCCCCTGCATCGGCAGGCGGACTCTCGACCACTGCGCCACCAGGGAAGCCCGAATCATTCTTTTAAAACATGCAAAATTTTATAATGAAGGGAATGTTGCATCTAATTACACGATGTGTCTTAGACTTGAGAGATTTCCAAGATTTAAATTCTAAGAAGAAAAACACATGCTCATAATCATAATTGATTTCAATTTTAAAAAAGGAAAGGCATCCAAAAAAATGAACGTGCTTGCATAAGGAGCTCTGATGAACTTTCTAAAATGACAGGTAGAAAAATACGGCACAGGCAGGCCTTTATCTAGAGTGGATGGATACCGGAATGGCAGCGGTCTGGAGCTGGGCTTAATAAAAGCAAATCGTGTACAAGGGCATGGGGCTGTTAAGTAAAAAGACTTAGCTGTGACCACTGTGGTTCTATCTCTAGGGCCTCAGTTTTCTCATCCAGGGAGTATAGCATCCTACCTGCCCTGTCAACCTCATAGATTTTGTGAGGTGTTTGTAAAACGATATTGTAAATTGTAATATAATATGTATGTAAGTCGTTGAGTAAACAATGCTTAAGATTCGGAGCAAGAAAAGGAAGGGGCACTGTTCTGGATGTCCTAACAAGCCACTCTTCAGATCATTTCCAAGGGGAATAATCCTTCAATTTTAAAGGGCAGAACTAATAGTGTTAATAGAAAATTAAGGGACTTCCCTGGTGGCACAGTGGTTAAGAGGCCGCCTGCCAACGCAGGTGACACGGGTTCGATCCCTGGTCCATGAAGATCCCACATGCGGCGGAGCGACGAAGCCCATGCGCCACAACTACTGAGCCTGTGCTCTAGAGCCCGCGAGCCACAACTACTGAGCCCGCACGCCTAGAGCCCGAGCTCCGCAACAAGAGAAGCCACCGCAATGCGAAGCCCGCGCACCACAACGAAGAGTAGCCCCCGCTCGCCGCGACTAGAGAAAGCCCGCGCGCAACAACAAAGACCGAACGCAGCCAAAAATAAATACGAATTAAAAAAAAAAAATTAATCCCCAAATAGGTGAGGGGCTGATAGAATGGCAGGATTTTTTTCCCCTAACTCTTGCTCCAGGAAGTTGTGAGGCTGTGGGTTGGTGATTCGGTTCTTTAATTTCAGGAGAGGATTTCAACCCTACTTTGATTTGTGAAATAGAAATATCTGCCTGCCTTTGGGGCCCTAGCTCCCCAGATTTCCGTGGAAAGCTCACTTCTAAGAAAATATTCATTAGGCATGTAGACAGACCCATTCCTCTTGACAGAATGTTAGGGAAAGCTTTGCTTCTTCTAAGCAGCTGGTAAACTGAGACATGAATCTCGGTATGTTGAATTCTTTTTTGCTTTGGCTGCCGGGACATTCAAAACCAAACTTTATAGCTGCATTTTAATTGCTGTGTAACATTCTGTAGCATGTATTCTATTTTCTTTTGCCATCCTGCCTTTTTTTCCCTTGCATCATTGTCTCATACCTGCTTGTTTTTGTTAACTTTCATTTATTCTTACAATATGTAAACTATCTGAAATTCTTTTGAGTATAAGTTAAATTGCCACACTGAACAGATTCAGGCTTCTAGATGTAGACCACTTGCATATGTATTGAAATATGATTACAGAGTTCCGAATCATAGGGAGGAAACACCAGTCAGGAGATAATGATGGGAAGCTGGACATGGGATACCATGACATCTGCCTTACATTGGTAAACCTGAAGGGAACACCCAGCAAAATTCTGCAACATTTCACAATTTACTTTGTGAGAAAGTAAGATCATTGCACGGTGGGATAGACTTATTCAGACACTAACCTTGTGCTACCCCAAGCCCTGCCTTTTTTTGTTGTTTATTTTTGGCTGCGTTGGGTCTTCGTTGCTCTGCGCGCGCTTTCTCTAGTTGCAGCAAGCAGGGGCTACTCTTCGTTGCGGTGCGCGGGCTTCTCATTGCGGTGGCTTCTGTAGTTGCGGAGCACGGGCTCTAGGCGCGTGGGCTTCAGTAGTTGTGGCACGTGGGCTCAGTAGTTGTGGCGCACGGGCTTCGTTGCTTCGCGGCATGTGGGATCTTCCCGGACCAGGGCTCGAACCCGTGTCCCCTGCGTTGGCAGGCGGATTCTTAACCACTGTGCCACTAGGGAAGCCCCCCTGCCTTTTTTTGGATGGGAGGGAAAGGAGGTTGAGGCCAGAGAAGAAGTTCTGAATCTAGGTCTGCCACTGACAAGCTGAACTGAAACTGACGAGTTAAGTTTTTCTGAACCTTAGTTTATTTATAATACAGGGAATAGACCAAGAAATCTCTTAAAACTGGTTTGCACTTCAAAACAATTTGGGTTACTGCTGCCACTGGTCAAAAATGTTTTTGAAACTTTGGGGAACAGCTTCCCTATCCAATTTTATGAACGTTTCAAGAAAAAAAACAAAAAGTGTGAACTTCAGAGCCACATTTCGTTTTGAAACAGATATGGCAGTACCTAGCTTAATTCGTGTCAGTTTCTTAACCTCAAGTGACTTGGCTATTTCTAAAACTAAAATCTTCCTCGGCAGGAAACCTGTCTCTATTAAACATGTTTTAAAATTTTAGGTTCTGCTCCAAGAAGCAATTCAAAAATATTTTTTGAACGATGATATAGCATTGGTGGCATTAATATATAGCTTCCCGAAATTTTAAGGGACAAGGCACATTAACACAGTGTACTGTTTCATAAGACTTTAAAAGATTCATCCTAATTAAAGAGATATTAAATATGAGAAAAAGGCTTTAGAATAAATGGAATATACAGTATGTAGGTTTTTCTTTTTTGTTTTTTTGTTTTTTTTTGCGGTACGCAGGCCTCTCACTGTTGTGGCCTCTCCCGTTGCGCAGCACAGGCTCCGGACGCACAGGCTCAGCGGCCATGGCTCACGGGCCCAGCCGCTCCGCGGCGTGTGGGATCTTCCCAGACTGGGGCACGAACCCGCGTCCCCTGCATCGGCAGGTGGACTCTCAACCACTGCGCCACCAGGGAAGCCCAGTATGTAGGTTTTTTAAAAGCCACGTGTGATAGTTAATAGGTATATCTCAAACTACCTTTTTTCTATTGAACATTTTAGAAAAGCTTAGATTAAGACAGATCTCTAAGTGTAAAACTTTCCTTACTGCATCTGGATGGCAGTGGTTCCCAAACCTGGCTGCGTGGTGAAACCACACTGAGATATTTTTCAAAATACTGATGCCCAACTCCCATTCCCACACATTGTAATTTTCTTTTTAATTAATTATTTTTGGCTGCGTTGGGTCTTGGTTGCTCTGCGCGGGCTTTTCTCTAGTTACAGCGAGTGGGGGCTACTCTTCGTTGCGGTGCGCGGGCTTCTCATTGCGGTGGCTTCTCTTGTTGCGGAGCACGGGCTCTAGGCGCACAGGCTTCAGTAGTTGCAGCACGCAGGCTCCGTAGTTGTGGCGCACGGGCTCTAGAGCGCAGGCTCAGTAGTTGTGGCGCACAGGCTTAGTTGCTCCGCGGCATGCGGGATCTTCCCGGACCAGGGCTCGAACCCGTGTCCCCGGCATTGGCAGGCGGATTCTTTTTTTTTTTTTTTTTTTTTTGCGGTACGCGGGCCTCTCACTGCTGTGGCCTCTCCCGTTGCGGAGCACAGGCTCTGGACGCGCAGGCTCAGCGGCCATGGCTCACGGGCCCAGCCGCTCCGCGGCATGTGGGATCTTCCCGGACCGGGGCACGAACCCGTGTCCCCTGCATCGGCAGGCGGACGCTCAACCACTGCGCCACCAGGGAAGCCCGGCAGGCGGATTCTTAACCACTGTGCCACCAGGGAAGCCCCACACGTTGTAATTTAACTGGTATGGGATGTGACCTGCGCAACAGGATTTTAAAATCTTCCCAGGTGATCTAATGTGCAGCGAAGTTACCACAGTATTCCAGTGATTTCATGTCCTACAATCCAGATAATTTGCAGATTCTGTAAAACAGTTTAGTAGCCACCTTTTACGACAGTATCACGTCATTAAAATCTTTTAGACAAAATTTTCTAAAAGTTAAACATACAATGGGATGGGAGGAGACGATATTCTGGGAGAAGACAACTCTGCCCTTAGTTTACAGTCTATTTATAGTTTGGTTTTGACATGGAGTATTTTGCCTTAAATACTCGTTTTGTTTGTACGTTCTCACTTGGGAAGTTGTAATATATCATTTATAAGTCCTGAACCCCCAGCGTAACTGCTGAGGTGCAGTGTTAAGAAAGATAGTTATGGATGCGTAAAAAGTGAAGTAGATTCGTGTCCAGTCAGATACAGCATACCTCAGAGACACCGGGGGTTCCGCTCCAGACCACCAGAATGAGTATCGCAATAAAGCAAGACATGAGTTTTTGGTGTCCTAGTGCATATAAAAGTGACGATACTATACAGTCTGCTAAGTGTGCGATAACGTCGTGTCCCAAAAAAAGCAGTGTATATACCTTAATTGAAAAATACTTTATTGCTAGAAGAATCTAGCCATCATCTGACCCTTCGGTAAGCCGTAATCTTCTCTGGAGGGTTTGAAATACCGGGAGCGTTGCCAAAGACACAAGGCAGGAAGTGAGGAAATGCTGTGGGATATAAGGGCGCCGATAGACTTGCCCGACCGCAGTGTTGCCGCAGACCTTCCATTTGTATAAAACGAAGCACCTGCAGAGTGCAGCACAGTAAAAGGAAGTATATGCCCGTGAGTCTCCCTGCTGCACTTGTTTTTCAGAGGTTTCTGGTGTGATGCAGGAGGCGAGTCAGTGCACTTGCAAACGGGGAAGCGTATCTCATTCTCGTAAGGACTGGCGGCACTGTGCACCGAGTCCGCACAGAATTAGGTTACAACTGTGGAGGACAACGATATAACCGAGGGACTAAAGGACAGATGAACCACAACCACAAAGGACCTGCACTGTGAACTTGCCGTGTTGGCTGTGGAACTAAAAGTAGGGCTCCTCTTGCCTCCCAAAAATATGCTCTGTAATGCCCTCCCATAAGATAGACCAGGGGGCTGAAAGGATCACGGGATGCTTTGTAGGTAAAAGCCCGAATTTTGTTTTTGTTATCGTTAAACACGACTTGTTCGTATACAGTGATCAGAGACGCACTCCCTGAAGCATGCCAGGTGTCAGAGGCGAGTGGCTGGTAACGAATCAGGCGCCGTTGTCCCTTACATCCTGGTTTCACGGCCAACCCCTTACTGGAACTGCCCCTCTCTTGTCGCTGTGTCAATGCTGGTGGCTTCTTATTTGCTTGGCCCTTCCTGGTACGCGTGATACTGTTGGCCCACCGTTATCTTGACCTCAGCTGTCCTGTTAACCATGAATAGTCCCTGGTCTCCATTGCTGGGTTACTCTTCCTCTCCCCTAGCCCGTGTTGTCTTTATATACTTGATGCTTTTCAATCTTTTACTCAGAATTCACTCAGAGTTAAGACCACTCCCCACCCTGAATGGTTTCCAAGCCTATTTATTTCAGAAATATTTTGATGTCTGTCACCTCCAACTCAAATCTAGGTGAAGGAAGGAAAAGCGGTCCAGAGAGAAGCCATCAGTGGCATGGCCCAACGAGGTATGGGTGCCTAAAATATTTGGGAAAAAATACATGTCAGTAGGTCTGTGGCCCGGAGATGCCCAAAACGGGGGTGGCCAGAGACTAAGGCTTGGGAACGTAGGCAGGTGCTAGGTCAAAGGACTTTATTAATAAAGAGTTTTATGCTTTGGATATTTATCTTTTTAGCAAGAGATGCCGTTGAAGAATTTAAAGCAGTCGCAAGGAAGTGACGGAAGAACACATTTTAGAAAGCTCTCATCTGGTAGCACGGGAGACGGACTACAGAGAGGCTTGAGAAGACAAAGCAGTAAGGTGGGGAAGATGGGAAAGGAAGCTGTTTAGAAGGTACCATCAACAGGACTTGGTAAAAGACTGGATATAGGAAGCAAAGGGTCTAGAACGGCCTTCACGCGGTGTCATTTGTTAAGCTAAGAGGAGTAGATTTTCGAGAGAGGAGAGTTCCATTGGACACTCAGGAGGAAGCAGCCGGCAGGTAATTAAACCCATCTTTCAGTCTAGCCTAGAACAATAGATTTGGTAGTAAAAACCACGTGCGTGGATGAGGTTATCTAACAGTTATGTTGAAGCAAAATCGTAATAGTAAATATAACTACGGGGAAGAGAGCCCCGTGGTAAGTGCTGCCTTTAAGTGGGAAAGCTGAAGGAAAACAAAGTGGACTAAGAAAGTAGAGTCGGTCAGGCAGGAAGTAAACCAGAAGGAGGGGGTCACGGGAAATCAAAGGGGAATTTTAAGACGTAGGCTGATCACATGAAAAAACGAAGCCCCTGTTTGATGTGACTGTTGGGTTGCTGGAGACCCCAGTGGGAAGCGTTTCTGAGCAGAACTGACCGCAGGCTTCTGAAGAATACGGGCTGTTGGAACAAGGCAACCAAGGAGGTGCGAAAGGGGAGAAGGTGGTGAGTACGGGAAGGGAGGCACACCTGCCTCCTCCCCGAGGTGGCTGTTTGTTGAGGACGGAGGCTGGAATACGTAGATGCTCTTGCAGCAAGGGGTCCAGAAACGGAGTTCACAGCTCACGACCTCAGCGTTCTCTCTGAAGAGGTATACTGGCCATTTGGTAAGCAGGGTGGTGGCGAAAAGGCTGGGACTGCTGCTGGAAGGCGACCCAAGGAATAAATGGGCCGACTGCTGATCACTGTTCAAAAGCCTGGCCAGACTGGAAAATGTAGCCGCATCAAGTCATTGTTATGTGGTTCTTCTCTGATACACTGGACACAAAAAGCAAATGTAAGTTATAATGACTAACAGTTGGAAGGGTTACGATTAAATGCCATACCGCCGCTAAGTCCAATCAGAAGAAACACTCTGATCGGTACATACTGTCAACACGTGTTTCTAAATCTAGACCTTAGGTGAACTTACGCTGAAAGAGACACACAAAAATTTTTCAGGTTAGAGTGGTGGAGGTAAGTAAGTAGCCTTGTCTTAACCTAATTAAAACCAATCAGTAGTACAGCACAGGCAGAAAGAACTGCTCATTTAAAATGTTTCATTGGTTATCCTCCATGTGATTTAGATTCGTAGCAAATACGTTATTACCAAAATCCATAAATGTCCAAGTGCCGCCTAAAATGCTCGGCATTTGGGGAGGGGTGTAGGCATGGCACAAGTTACAACCTTTGCCCTAGAAGAGGATTATGGGGGACGTAACTCAGTGAAACTTCAGTGCAATAAAGACAACAATACAGTTAAGCGTCAAGGCGTATGATACAGATTTTGAAAGCTGAAATATTTAGGAAATGTTTTTAAAGGAGGTAGAATTTGAGATTAACCCCCAGACGGGATAAGAATCAAGTGAGTTCTTCTCTGAGCTTTTATTAAAGGGTACCATCAAGTGTGTTTATGGAAAAGATAAAAGGTTACAAAGGGAGCTGTTATAAAAAAATCTCTGTCGACCTAAGTAGTGTCTGACCAAAAGCGCAATTAAAGGCCACAAAATATTAAGTGTCGGTTTATTTAAATTTCTAAAAGATGTAAAAATAAGACAACTTTTCTTTGTAGTAGAAAGAGCATTAAAGTGTGGAGTCACAGGACCTAGTTTGGTGTGAAATTACGTTCCTCTGGTCCCTCCACTTCCTAATTTGTACAAGGGCTCGAGTATTATTCGTTCTTCCTCACCCTCAAAAGGTCTGAATGAGAAACAAATGGTCTGATCTGAAATATAAATTAAGTGTGGCCAACATTAAAATAATAAATTCATTATGTAAGTAGAACGTTATAATAATTACATGATTGATAGTAATTAGAAAGGAAGTGGAAACATGCAGATTACTTGCTAAATAAATATTAATGTAATGGAACAAAACAGAAGTAGAGTTTCTTCACGCAGTGGTTGGGAAGGAGAAATAGGACTTCTGTTACTTCGTAACTAAAACAGTATGTTTATAGTAGCTTTTGAATATTGTTATAAATATCACCAGAGACGAGATAAATTTCATTTCTATATTTCAGAAAACCTACTTGAATACACTTTGAAACAAGAGTACAACAAAATAGAATATACTTCAAATGTTGAATATACAAACTATTATAGTTCAAATCTGAACACTGGTACTTTCCCCTTAAACTTCAACTAAAAAAAAAAAAAAAAAAAAAAAAAAAAAAAAAAAAGAAAACGCCAAGCGTTAGAGCTACCTAACAAAAATTCATGCTGAGCCTTAACTTCCAAGTGACAGTAGAACTGAAACGGATTATGTCTGCGCAGATGCCAGGGCGAAGTGAGTGACACAGGCACGTTTACAGCAAAAGGAAGGCCAGAGCCGACTGTTAATTTGTCCACAATTAAGAAACTGACAGACTTAAACTACCATATAAAATGTTACATGTATATTCTATAACAATACTGTGCTAGGTACAAGATTTTTAAAATTTTTCTTTTAATAAAAAAGCTTTACACAAACAAGCCATTAGCTTATTTCAATAAAGAAAACCGAAAATTAGTCTAAGGCCTTTGTTTTCAGCTTAAGCTATATGATTAAAAAAAAAAAAAAAAAAAAAAATCGCACTAGATCGTTTTTGCTCTCTTTCTGAAGCTTTTGGATCCATTCTTCAATTCACATTCTAAAATACCTATATTAGCAGTCTTCACATAGCACCAGTTAAGTGAGTTCTGTGTGAACACAGTAATAATTGCTGGTATGCATATAAAATGCATCAAAAATTGCTATATGTAACAATGAGATCACCCATCCCAGTCCCTCCCCACTGGAAACTATAGCCTCTTACAGAATGTTAGTGTTCCAAGTCTTAGTGTAACTTGATATTGTAGTGAGTTGCTTGGTCCCTTTCAATCCTTCTTCTCATTGACGGGTTCAGTTGTTTCCTACTGTAAGAGGCAGTTTTCTGTCAGCGTCTCAACATGTAGTTCACTTCCCACTGAAACATGGGATAGGTAATTTATTTCCAGTAAGTCTGATTGTTTTCTTATATGCATTAAAAATGTTTTAAAGTCTTCTGACTTCTCTTGATGACGTCCTTGCAAATGCTTAATGTCAGGACTAGCACTAACATTCTAGCGCCCACGGGAGAGCTGCTCTTTTATTTCTCACATGTCACCAGTCCCTCCGTTTTCATAGTTACGGGAAGGGCAAGAGCTGAAGGCGCACTGACAACCACTACGTGGGTCACTGTCTTATTTCCATCTGCCGGTTTTTCTTCCTGTACCAGCTGCAAAGTTTTCACGTCATGTTCCTGCTTTTTGGCCACTGCTTCCGATTTAATCTCTGGCCCTTTTATGACGGCGCTGATAACTCGGGGAGGAGTCTGGCCAGATGCCTGTTGAGGCGGCACTGCCAGCCTCATGACAGGCGCGCCGTGGGCTATTGAAACCGGGGTGAGCGCTCTCACCGCCAGTGGCGTTCCAACAATGTTAATGCTTCCTGATCCAGGCAGGTTTGATTTTGTCTGCAGCTGACACTGTGCGAGCTGTGTAGCTGGGATGGTAATAATTTTGGCAGGCTGCATGGTGATTTTGTCTGCATTTTCAGTGGAGGCTGGCACCACAGTAGGGATTGTCTGAATCACTACCTTCGGAGAGGCCGCTGTTGTTGGGCTACTGCTGGTTATCAGTGGTGCACCTGCGTTAACTGACTGAACGGCCACAGTTGAAATTTTCTGCCCCAACGATGTCATCACAACAGGCACTTGCATTGCCACACGAACTGTCCTAGTAGAGGTAAAAAAATAAAGTTGATTATATTTCATGTTAAACTCTAAAGTAGGTCTCTTGAGCAAAAAGATGAATGCAAATCCAAAACATGTAAAACTGGTGCTCCCAAATTTTACAAATGTCCCGAAAACCCCTTAAGTTTAGAGTATGAAATACCATGAGACGAATGTATTTTAAAAACTAAAGTCTAGGGCTTCCCTGGTGGCGCAGTGGTTGAGAGTCCGCCTGCCGATGCAGGGGACACGGGTTCGTGCCCCGGTCCGGGAAGATCCCGCATGCCGCGGAGCGGCTGGGCCCGTGAGCCACAACTACTGAGCCTGCGTGTTTAGAGCCTGTGCTCCGCAACGGGAGAGGCCACAACAGTGAGAGGCCCGCGCACCGCGATGAAGAGTGGCCCCCGCTCGCCGCAACCAGAGAAAGCCCTCGCACAGAAACGAAGACCCAACACAGCCAAAAATAAACAAACAAACAAACAAACTGAAGCCTATGTTAAATTCCATCCGTAAGACCCTAAAGCTCCATTCAGGTTAGAGGAGACATCTACTTCAACAACAACAAAATACATTTAAAAATGCCAAGCACTTTTCAGAGTCCTGACAACAGGGAGTTCTTACAATGCAAATGTTAAAAAAAGGAACCTATCATTTCTGCCAAAGAGTTTTCTAAAAATCAAACCCGTTGCAACTAATGGTTTCCCTCACTTGCCTTGGAGCTGCTGTTGCTGACACAGATGCGGTAGTAGTAGGAGACCTGGACGAAGCCTCATGACCAGGGGGAGTGATGTTCACAACTCTGGCTACACCCTTCTCTGCTTTGGAGCAGTTCAGAGGAGACGAGTTTTTGCCACCACGCACAGAAGCTGCTGCTTTCAAGAGGCTTTCTGCAGACAGTGACACGCGCTCTAGTGACTCCCCGGCAGCAGCCGTTGCTACATCCTCGTTACAGGCCTCACTTTTGTCATCGTCTATGACCACTATGTTCTTGGGCATATCCTTGAACTGATACACAAGCCTCTGTCCTTCAACCTTTGCGAGAATACCCCTTTGGTAATAGTATCTGTCAGGAAAAAGTACTAAATACATCAAGTGTATTACATTTGTTCTCCCCACCTCCCTACCCCCCAACAAAAACACCATGTAGAAGAGATGCTCACAGAAACATTCACTGATTCCAGTAAGAGATAAGGAGGAACTCACACTGCCTGGGTTGTTCAAAAGGCTAAGAATTTGAAGTAGGAATGAAATTAGAACCTGGTGCCACCGGTCTTATATAACCTTGAGATCTGTAAAGTAGCTAAAAGCTCATTCTTAAAGGAAGTAATTTAACCTAAATACAGAATATACTACTGTACAGCTGGCCCTCCACATGCCTGGGTTCCTCATCCATGGATTTAACTAACCCATGGATCAAAAATACTCGGGGAAAAAAGAATTCCACAAAACAGCAAAACTTGGAATTTGCCATGTGACAGCAAGTATTGACACAGCGTTTGCCCTGTGTTAGGTATCACATGTAATCCAGAGGTGATTTCAAGTGTACAGGGGATGTAGGTGGGTTATAGGCAAGCACTATCCCCACTCCAAAAGGGATTTGAGCATCCATGGATTCTGGTATCTGCGGGGGGTCCTGGAACCAATCCCCCTCAGATACTGAGGGACGGCTGTATTTTACAGACACTGGTAAAAATTTAGTTCTGATTTACATAGGTTATAAAAACAATCTGATGTTACGTGGAAAAATTACCTAAGCCATGCTTAACAGAAGTGAATCTGTGGTATACATGAATACTGTCACTAAACTACGTTCATTTACAAAATACCCTTAATTAGAATAAGCCACGTGCATAACAAAGTTATTGTGGGTTCCTCCAACTGACAAAACTTAAGAGAAAGTTTCATATCAAGATAAATCCATTATAATAAGTTTGCAGGAACTAAAGAGCAAATTCACAATTTGGAAACTGTATTTTGTTTGGGCTTAATTTTCTGAAAGGTGCACATTTCCCACAAAAATGGATTTTCCAATGGTGCTGAAATTTTAGCCATCTAGACCAAACTCCTGTCTCCCCAACCTGCCTCCAAATACAAGAAGCTCCTCTAGAAAATCCCCCCCCCAAATTACAAGCTGTAACAAATAAGGGATTTTAACAGCTTCTCTTTAAATAGTTAATAGACAACATTAAGAGATATGTAAGTTTTGTCTGAAAACTCTTCCTTTTGGGTTCTTACCTCAGAGCTCGTCCCATAGTTTCATAGTTCATGTCTGGCTTGTTCTTATGCTTTCCCCAAAGCTTAGAGACAGCCTTTGAATCCACAAGCTTGAATATGCCTTTTTCTCTCTGAGTCCACTTAATATACCGGGGACAAGTATTTTTATCTTGAAGTAGATCTAAAAGAAACTCCCACAAATAGGTTGTATTTCCTTTGAAAACAATCACAGACATTGATTAACGATTCATTGACATAATTCAAAGCAAATATTTACTTACACTGGACAAAAAATCAATTAATTTACCACTGGTGAAGCACAAGCGTACTGAGTCTGTCGTGAAATACTTGACTAGATCGGCAATCATTTGTACAGTGTCAAATTGTGTTGTCTAGTAAATAACAACAATGCAAGAAATAAACAACAGTTTGAAACAATATAAGCTATGACACAAGGCCAGGCACAATTATATTTCAAATGAATGATAGAAAATAATGTCTGAGATTTCAGGAGTGAAAATAAAGTGGATTGTTAAGACGTTATCAAGGCTTGGAAGATGGCTAAGATTTGCACAGAAGGAAAGGAAGGACTCTGGGTAGGTAAAATAAGAAACTTAGTCCCAAAGAGAAGAGAGCATCACTCTTTTCTTTTCTTGGAAGACTGGGGAAGAGTAGTGGGCAGTGGTTACCAGAAGACCAGAAGACTAAAACCAGGCTGCTGTTTTCCTTTTATTCCCTTTGTAAGCCTCTAGGGGCAGAGGTTCTTAAATTGACGAAAGAAGAAGAGAGTCCCGAGAAGAGGATCAGAATACATATGCCACCAGGGAGCCACCAGGTCATCTCCAGGCTCCTACTCAATAACCCTTTACTAGCCTCAAATCCAGATCCAAGTTACGGGCTACATGAGAAGAACCTTGAGGGTGGGAGGCTTCCACATCAAGCCACTGCCACTAGTCAATGGAAACGCTGATGTTTTTCTCCTCCAGCATTTCATTTTCATCCTGTATTTCCCTGAAAATTCAGTCAATCCATTAACCCATAGTTGAGCCCCGTGCGCATCTCTTGACTTTTAAAAAATTAACCTTCAACTTTACAATGTTATTTGTATCTCTTCAACTTTACTGTGTTACATTTGTACATCAGCATCCATACCTAAAAACTCTTAGTATTAAACCGTGCATAACTTTCAACTACATCACTCTCAACTGAATCAAGATAATGTATCTGGGGCACTTTTATTTTATGACCTAAAGACTATAAGAACTTATTCTGGAAGAAATTTTTGTACAACAGACAATGCCTTGCACACAGCAGGGATTTGAGTACTTCTGTGTCTACTGAATTAATCAGACTCATCAACATTCTTTAGGTTGTCTTTAAATGCTTCGCCCCAGTTCCCATCCCCAAGTTGAAATTAGCAATTCTATTTCTGGTTTTAAGGAAAACAGAATTCGAAAGGGAAGCCTTCTTTATCAGACAAGGTAGTTCACTGAGTCTATGCAGACACTGTCGTCATAATTTTGCAGAAGAGGAAACACTGACTGGATTTTTAATCCAGGGATGACTGTAATCACTTTGGTCTTCACATTTCAACAGGCTGCCTCAAGTTTAATCATACGTAAACTGAAATTTTAATGAAAGGTGATTTTGACTGGTAAAAATAGGTTATCACAAAATTTTTTTCCAGTTTTAAACATAAGGTCTTTGAATACAAGAGACACCACTGATGATGGGAATAATTTTTTAAAAAGTAGTAACTGGGACCTCCCTGGTGGCGCAGTGGTTAAGAATCCGCCTGCCAATGCAAGGGACACAGGTTCGAACCCTGGTCTGGGAAGATCCCACACGCCGTGGAGCAGCTAAGCCCGTGCGCCACAACTACTGAGCCTGCACTCTAGAGCCTGCGAGCCACAACTACTGAGGCCCGCGCGCCTAGAGCCGCTGCTCCGCAACAAGAGAAGCCACCGCGATGAGAAGCCCACGCGCCGCAACTAGAGAAAGCCCGCGCACAGCAACGAAGACCCAATGCAGCCAAAAATAAATAATTTTTTAAAGTAATAATTGTATATTTACAGTTCAAACTTTGTAATACTATTATGTAAGTTTTAAAGTTTTCAATATAAATTAAAAGATAAAACCTAAGATACCAGAAATGTAAAACAACCAAAGACACAGAAGAAAATAAAAGTATCCTAAATCTGTCCCAAATTGAATAAACAGTTCCTAAATAAATAAGGGTTTACTGTAACTGGATTTTTCTTTTTTTGTTTTTTTTTTTGTCTAAATTTCTTGGTAGGCTTACTAGACTTATTTTTTTTTTTACTAGAGATTTAATTTTTGCTTTAATTATTTAAAATGAGATATATCAGACTACCCATTGAGGATGGAATAAATCTGAATATACGAATCCAAAATGTATCCAACTATTGAAAACATTCATGGAAGTGATAAAATTTTGGTTATCAGATTATCAGAACACACCTAAAACCCTTACTAAGATCACTTGAAATCAACTTACACAACAAATTATGACAGCAGAGAATGCAGAAGGCTTATGCTATTTTTGTGCTTAATGAGAATATACAAACTCTAAAGCAAACATGTTAAATTTTTGTTCTAAGATCCTTACTGACATGACTGAAATCTGCTGGTTGGAAAACTAAATTCACCTTGCATTGAATCAGTTAAGAAGAGCTAAATTCACCTTGCTTCTATCAGTTAAGAGAGTATGGAGAAATGAAGTCTTAGTTTTGTAAACCTTTTTCAATTCTAAGTGACCCTCCGTGAGGATGCCTGCCGTTATCCTCCAGAACCACAGCTCTTCTTCATACAGCTGTGTATCAGATTGCAGGTAGGGCCTTTTCCAAATTCAAACGCTTGCCCACCTCCACTCCCTGCAGTTTTATCTCAGTGGGGTAAGGACCAGGCATAGATAGTTTGAAAGAGCTCCACGTGTGATGCTCATACAGCCCTGATTAAGAACTACTACCAAGGACAGTACTCTCACATGTGCACGTGCTAGAAGTGATTTTCCTACACATGTACTTGACTAAAAACAGCAGCATCTCACCTACAAAACAGACCTCCCCAAATTACCTTTTCCTTCTCTGGGTTTCTTCTTTATACCTAACTCAGGAGACCCATTGGAAATTGGCGACTGCTGGGTCTTTGGTTTACGGCCAACTGGAAATAAAAGACATTGAAACCACACGTTGAAAACAGGAAAAAGAAGCATGATAGCAGGCTTTTTGATAACACATTATTCATGAAACTGGATACTAATCTACGGATTAATATATTCAGTGTATATAAAAGTTGCTTTTAAAAGAACATGAAAAGCAGTTCTGCAATTTTAGATTACAGCAGTTAGTGGATAGTAATGTCAATGTACATGGCAAGTCAGGCACTACTAACCCATTATTTACATGGTCAGAGCCTCAATTTGCTAACCTTTTCCAATAATGTAGCAATGGAAACAAATTCTAGTACAAACTTTTGTTTTCTGTTCTACAGAATTGTTAGAAAAAGCTTTACCTACCGATTGCAGAGGATCTGATAATCTGCGAAGCCCTTTGAGCTCAAATGAGGAAAAGTAAAAAATATTATTTTAAACACTCTCTACTGCTCTGAGCCAATCAATTCACCAGAATTTCAGCATAAATTTCCCCACCTCAACGTGCAGGTACATTATAAGGATAAAAAAGTCTTCCAAGCGATTACTTCGTAGGTCTAGTAGATGTCTGCGCCCTTCCTTCTGTCTCCCCTCACTTCTGCCGTAAGGCTTTCTCAGAGAGACTAGCATCCACAATGAACAGAAAAGCAAGAGCTATACTTCCCTACAGTAAAGAAAGCTTAAGCCTGAAATGTGTTGTATTCAGCCCTCAGCCCTGACGGATGAATGCTGGCAGGTGAGGGGAAGCCTCAAGAAAGAGACTGGGAATATTACATATACTATTACTGATTTGGTGATCTGTCCTAACATCTGGGATTTCTGATGTCTCTGCTCTTCATTAGCAAGGATTATCTAGAGCTAAATTAAAGTGCCTTAACTTATAAGTCAAAAAGCATAGTTATTATATTCTAGGATTAGAATAGGATTTCATTAAGACGTATGCTTTGGCAAAAATTAAAACGAAGTTTACTGGTCTCCCTTGTTAAAACAGAGCTTAATTTCTCAATTTAAATAATACTTATACGTACGAATCAGTCAGTTAATAAGACTGACGTCTTCACCGTCTCCTAAATTCAATCACAAAAGCCCAACTTCCTTAAAGGAAAGGTTAGCCCCAAAAGGCTTATTTTCCTATAAAGCAGCATTTCCCAAATGGTATTACATGAGAAATAGGTTATTCATCAGTAGGAAGAACGGTTTACAGTCAAATTAACTTTTAGAACTGCATGCTGTCTTCTCTTGGAGATTTACAATGCACGTTAGTATATTAAAGGCTCTGGAAATAAAAAGAAGCCTCTACTATTAAAAAATACCTACCTAACTTTGTATGTCCCAAAGGTACTTAACCACAAATGAATAATTAACGATGTTGCATGTAATTTTTAAATTGTCATTCATTAAGACCACCTATTTTCAAATACGTAATAAGATTAGTATTAAATTGGCCAATTATTTCCTGGTTTATACCGTACCACCACGTAGGCAGATCAACCTGTTTATCTAGAGGTCTTGGTTCCCTAAATGATCTCAGCTTTTCATAGTCTTTTCCCTCTTCATTTAAATCTAAAATTTTCTTAAGTATTTTGTAATAGCTTCCATAAGATACAACCGGCGGAAGGCTATAGAGGGCAGTGGGTAAACAGGGCTATTTATATGTATTCCTTTTGTTTCTAAACATTTACAGCAGGAAGTAATTCTTCCTTCTAAACTCTCTCATTCATGCCTTTCTCAAATACATATTATCTATATTGTAAGAGGGAAGGTGCTCTGTCTTATTCTCCACTGGGTACCTCACGGCAAATGAGGCACAGACCCGTGACCATCACAGCAATTTGAAACGCTGCTACCTAATAAATCAAAGATAATACCATTATTTCTGAAACAAGTTTTCCCTTATTGTTGCCTTTGATTTTTCTTTTCCCCCATTCTAAAATGTGAAGAAAGAGACAGGGAAGAAAGTGGAATTAGATGAGTACCCATTTATACAGAATTTCATTTCTTTCAAGTTTTACCTTTGATTCAAACAGAAAAAGAACCCACTCAGGATGCTGAAGATGGACTGGAGCCTTGTGCCTCACCCACTGGGACCAGATGAGCACAAGCTTCAGCAGGCGTCAAATAACAAGTGGAAACGTCTTTTACCCAGAGGTGAGCTGATTCCCCTCACAAGTCCCTACGTGCAACCTTGGTGTTTTAAGGCCGAAGACAAGGGGGAGAAAACTGGGCTTTTTACTTTAACGCCCACAAAAAGAGTAGGAAGGTAAGATTACGAAAAATAAAGTCAGGAATAATTTTGTTTCTTTGTTTGCTTTTTAAGGTAACCAAGTACCTAAAAGGATCAGAAAGTAGAAAAATGGGCAGTGAATCTCTGACCTTCCTTCTGTGTATCAAGCACCTATTATAATCTCACTCTGCAGGCAACTACTTTTAGGGCTCAAACGCTAACTCCTTTAAACAGTTATGAACATGTTAAAAGACAAAATCTTAATTCTTTGAGAATATCTAATTAAGATAACATCAATCATAAATCTACAGCATATATTTCCTATGTCCTGTGATGGGGGGAGAAAGATGCCAGAAAAAATTTCACCCAATTTCCCAGAAATTTATAAATACACTCTACCTTTCTTCTTTTTCATTGGTTCATGGCTATCTGGTGACGTAGGAAGAGGAGAGGTATCCATTGGTTCAGATTCTTCAGTTGACACCTCCACTACAGTTTCTGTAATGACATCCGGCCTCATAGCAGCATGGATAAATTCTGGAGTTGATACACAAGGAGGGACAAACACTTCCACTATAAAAAAAAGTTGAAAAATTAAAATTTCCCACCCCCATTAATGCCTCTCAATACGGACAATTCAATATTTAGTAGGGTGAGGTTATTAAGAATTCATCAAAGCAGGATAAAAACTTGAAGTTAAGGCTTACTGGATATACAATATGGTCTAAAGTATGTAAGTAAATAAATGCAAAGAAAATCGACTTGAAGGACACGCTCATCTTCTGGGTAAAGGGGGAGATCATAAGCAGTCAACCCCCGTGCTTCACACTTTTAGATACTTTCAAGTTCACTGTAGAAGACTTTGGATTATTTTGACAATTGGGAAAACATTTGAAAATAAAAGAGTATAACAGTGAGTTAATAATTACTTTCCTTCCACTCACTCATCATTATTCTCTAACTAGGAAGAACATGCACCTGGTATAACATTAAAGTAATAAACGTACGTTTAGGGAAAAGTAAGCACAGTTCATTTCAAGATGCGAAAAGAAAACCTGCTCGTTACAGCCAAATGAATATCATCTTTCAATATTTAAAATTTTATTTACTGGAACAGTCCCTGATATTTTGGGTCACTAAAGTGGTCCATACAGATTTTCTATTACGTACAATAATGTTGCTCTGGCTTCCTTTCAATGTGCATGAATAACCAGGATATGACATTTCTATTTCAATTAATACATACTATCATGGATTAATATACTGACCAGTATGCCCTAATCTTCTTCTCATATCCCTGAATAATACACAGGATTCCTACTCTTAACTAAAAAGTACGGTTGATCTTAACATATGTTGAAAATCCCTAAAAGAAGGGCCAATCTTAACGGTACTAAGTCAAGTTAACCTTTGGGCATCAAAATTAGGACAAAAAGACTCTCAAAGGCAGTCTTTAAAAAGGGGGCCAAGAAAAACAAAAGACAAAAAAAGGAAAACATGCAGCCTGGAGGGAGTGCGAGGAAACACTGGAAGCTACCTCCGCCCTCCCTCAGGGAGCGCTCCCTGGGGTCACTGCCCATCTATCACTGAAGGAAGGACTGAACGTGGTCATAGGTGGCAAATGCTCCCATCTGCCATTCTCTTACGGTTTATAATTTACCCAGAGTTAAGGAAATAAGACATGATGGTATTAACAGCAATGTAACAGCCATCTGTCTGTCTATAGTGGGCGTTTCTGTTTCATTTATTTTGAAAATTAAGTATTTAAGATTTGGGAACATTGACAAGTAAAAATCAGTTACTGCGGTCACAGGTACTTATGTATGATAGACTCTGAGAACACCAACAATCCCCTTGGATTACCAAAGACAAAAACAAAAACTTTCTTTCTAGATACATGAAGTGACGTGATATGTTTAATATAAAAAACGACAGTTCACATACCAGGACTTCTTGAATCTCTCAAGCAGGTAGGAGATTCCATATGAAGCAGGGCTTCAGCAGCTTCAATTGTCTTATCCGTACAGTGTGCATTACTGCTATGAACTGATGCTTCCACTGGGGGGAAAATAAGTTCTACTCAATAAAAATGCACCGAACACGTACGTTAGTACATTAAACCCTCACGTTAATAACTCTAAATGAGTCATTAATACATATTAGCCCATATAAATTACTTACAGAAATGATTTTAAAACCAAAACAACCTAGTATCTATACTTTGTAAAACGAATGTTGATTATAAAGCAAGTATTGAGGTTGATTCGAAATTTCTGAATCTTATCCAAAGGAAAACAAAGACCCTTGAAATTTGAACCCTGTATCAATTTTAGGCCAAACCTAACTTGCGGGGTAGGGGAGGGAGAATGGTTGTAGATTAACAGTCCTATGAGGTCAACTGTAATTTTAATATACTGCTACTAAGTAAACACCTAGCAGAATCAGTCAGAAACTCGTATTTCTAAATTAGTTTAATCAATTAGTTCAATTCTTACAGACCCTCCTGGTGAGTGCACCAGAGAACTTGGGAATTTTCTTCACAGTAACGGCTTTCTTCTTCAAGATCTCTCTGGACCTTTGCTGGGTTTTACCCAAGAAATTTAGAAAGAAAGAAAGAAAGAAAAAAAAGAGAGAGAGAGAGAGCGCCTATGTTTCTTTTCCTCTCCATGAAGCCTTTTCTAGTTCTACCGCCTCTTGTAACTCTCTTCTAACACTTACTTTGTGCTTTGCTGATTAAATTATTTGTGAAACAGTAAAGTGTACAGCAGTGGTTTGGTTTTCCAGGCTCGAAAGCTTGGGCTCTAGTCTCTGCCACTTACAATTTCTGTTACCTTAGGCCCAGCAATTTAATTTCTTGTAAGGCTCAGTTTCCTCTTTCACCAAACAGGAATATTACTTACCTCATACAGTTGTGAGAATTAAATGCAGTGATTCCCTTAAAAAACACGTACGATATCTCACATATAGATAAGAACTCAATAAATGGTGATAATTTCTTATCACCATTTAAGCTCCGTGAGATCAGGGAGGGCTATCTTAATTCATCTTTACATCTGTTATGGTCCCTAACACAGACCTTTCATATAGGAGGCATGCAAGTGTTTCTTTTATGTTTTGAAGTTAAGGACAACCCACAGACCTTACAGGAAAAATAGCAATTCAAGCACAAACTCATTATCCTAATGATACAATTCATTTCACATCCTGACTTGAAATATTCTGCTTGGTAAGAGGTTCTGAAACATGAATATGTTAACGGTGTCTAATTTGATAAATTTTTCTCAAGATGTCCTCTAAAGGGCTAAAAGAAAATATTTATACAAATTTCATAAAAGCATATTATAAATTCACAAGTTCTACAACACTAAAGATATGAATCTTTTAAAGTTGTTTCCAGTAAACTTTTAATTGAAAACAACTTTTTCACTTAGTCTCAAAAGTCACCGAGTGCTAAGGCCTCGGCCTCACACGCCAGCCATTTGGAGAGCATTCACAGAAAATCCAGTGACTGCTTCACCACCTGCTGCACGTCATCCACACTCTCAACCAAGGTACCCGGTCTCTCCAGTTGCTCTTTCCATTTATGGAAATCTGCTCAAAGCTCAACAGTTCCAGAGAGGCAGCCAAACCTCTAAGTAAATCTATCTTTAGGTGACCCTGCTTACTCTTATCTGCAGCTTCACTGAAGCACAGGATTCAATCAGTCCTTCTAGCTCAACTTTAAGAAATTTACTATTAGTAAGTATAAAATATATTACCATTCTCAAGTATTTTTTTCAAAGTACCTCCCCCTGCAGTACTCACGTGCACTAAAGAACCTTGGGAAGCAGATTCTCAGGTTTTTAAAAGTTTATTCTAGGAACTTCATTCTCTTTAAAGTCTGCTTGTGTTGCAATTTAGCTGTTGTCTTAGGTGCTATTAATAAACCATCCTGGGTAAACTAATTCCTTACGTAATTGTATGAAGACACACCCTAAAAACTCTACCATACTAAAGAGCTTTGAGTATTTGATAATAATACAGCAATAGAATTTTACCAGATATTTTAATGTTTTAAGTTATAAACAAAATGAAATTTGCCAACAGCTATATATTATGCCGCCCTGAGCTCTTACGCAGTTTGAGGTATGTTTTCAAAACCACGACTTCATGTTAGTTACGTCAGTGAAAATCTTCTTGCTATGATTTCCGACCTCAACCTCCCCTTTCTCCCTAAGTTCAAAATGCTGTTTCCCTGAAATATTTTACATCCAGAGTAAAACAAAGAGAATCCACACAAAGTTCAGCAGAGAATCACTCCTTTACACTTTAAATCCAGGATGAGAATATATTAAAAATGCATCAACTCCCTACGAACTATCAGTCAGATCTAGTGTTCTACGTACAGTCAACAAAGGATTGTTATAAACCTGAGACACAAGTGTGAACAGACCTCCGGCCTCATGAAGCTTATACGAATAGTTCAGAGTATCAAAAACATAAATGGACGTAAAATATTTCAAAACAAAATAAAGATGCAAAATAATTTGTGACAGTTTCCAAGAATACTTAACCCAATTTGTTAAAAGTGAGCTCTGTCTCTTTTTACTTGTCTTTTGTTGACATAAGTCAACAAGCAGTTTTTGGTAGCAGAAATTTAAGAAATACGTTTCCTATTCAAGTTTCCATAATTTTTAAAAACTTTTCAATATTATTTTATTCAGATCAATAATTCAAATACAATTTAAACTAAAATTCTGCACAATTCCCAAGGATAAATATGAATATAACACTGTTGTGCCATCAAAATAAGCAAACCTACAAGTGAGGGCTGAAAATTCCCTACTTATCTCTTACTTAAAACTTGATTTTCTGGTGTCTTTCTAGGCCTGCTTGTGAAACTCATGGGAGTTGAAAAAAATAAGCAACTCATTTAAAAAACAGAAACAATGCAGCTAAAAGTAATCTGGCAGGTATCATCTTCTAGTTGCCCCCAGTCGGTGGCACTGGTCTGGTCAATATTCCTTGAAGAAATAAATATACCAAATAAATTTCCAAACTGTTTTAATTTTAATCAGTGTCAAAAATTAAATTTGCTTATGCCCTCCTTTACCGTGGGTTAAGAGTCTTATTGTTCCATTTCTAGCTTTCTAATCAACTGGTGTTTGTAATGGAGACTATGCCAGACTCACTCGACAGCTGTTACTAAATACCAAACTTGGTAATCAAGTCTGACAAGAGACATACCTCTCAGCTTTGCAGACGAGAATGCTGGCAATGGATCTAGTTCATAACAACGTTCTTAAAAGTCAAAAATAAAAATCAACAGCCATTTAATTTGAGAGCAATAGGAAAATATTAGAAAACACTTCATTAGGTGATAGTGGTATTCCCCTACAAGCAAGACCATAAACTAATATTTACAAGGGCATCACGCAGCTACCACACCTGACTCAGCACAGCTTATTCTCTAACGCCCCAGGACTCTTAACAGTTAACAGGTGAGTGAAGAACACAAACAAACAGAAAGGTAAAAGGTCTGGGGCACTCCATCTGTATCAGTTCCCCTTTGACTTTTCTAATCTATACAGCTGCGTTATAAGGTTAAAAGGGGAAAGAGAATAAAATCATTTTCTACAGTAGCGCTGTCTGATAAAAATATAACGAGAGCCACGTGTAATTTTTAAAGGTCCAGCAGCCACGTTAAGAAAATAAGCAGAAGGGGAAATTAATACCTTTCATTTAACCCAGTATATCCCAAACACTGGCATTTCAACATGTAAAAGAGGTTTACATGTAAAGAACATGTAAAGAAGTTTTTCACTGCTTCCGTTTTTATGTTTAAATTAAATTAAAAATTTGGTTAATCAGAGACATTTCAAATACTCAATCGCCACATGAGGCTAGTGGCTATGGTACTGAAAAGTATAGACTAAATAAAACTGTAACTCAGCCATTCTCAAACTTTTCTGGTCAAAGGACCCTTTTACACTCATATTACTGAGGACCACAAAGAGATCTTGCTTATGTAAGTCCTATGTTTAGATACTTACCCTATTTGAAATTAAAGCTAAGAAAACTTTAAGTAATATGTTTATGAAAAATAACTTTTCTAAAACAAAGAACAATTTAGAGAGTAGCTTTATTTTACATTTTTGCAAATCTTTTTAATACATGGTAGAAAACAGCTGGATTCTCATACTTGCTTTTTCATCCGAGCTGTCCTATCAAGCCATGTAGCCTCTAGAAAGCTTCCGTGAACACTTGCGAAAGTGAAAAGGCAAATAATGTCTTAGCGTTACCATGAAAACAATCTGACTTCACGGACCCCCTGAAAGAGTCTGGGGAACTCCCAGAATCCCCCATACCAGAGATTTTAGTATTAAAGAACTGCAGCTGTAATTTATTATCAAATGTAATCAACAACACCCAAATTCCATCCTCATGTCTCTGTAAGTTTTAGCTTCTAAACATAAAATCAGTGTGTAGATGAACAATTATGATTCCATTTCCGTAGGTACAACAGTACTTTGTCGACTTACACATGAAGGATTTTTTTTTAAACTCTTCACAAATCAAAAACACTCTCCTGCCTGCCTCTCTACCAATTAAATTTGTCCCTAAAGGAAACTGATGTTGGATTACCCTGAATGACTCTTTACACACTGATGTTACTCTTTCACTCAATTTCTGTGTGAATTTTAGTACTAATGCTGCAATGAATTCTAAAGAGTAATTTCTTAAACACATTTTCAAATAAAGTTCTAAACAATTTATGCCATTCTTCCAATTTTATTTCAACACATGCTTCATCTTTTCATAGCCTGATAAATATTTTTTTCAAATTGATGTTCTTTTCAAGATTGATACTAGATATTCCAGTTTATAGTAAATCAGAAGATTTTCTAGTTCAAATTTCATGATGAATTTTGACAAACTAGACAGATTTGTTCTGTCCGTAAAAATACTTAAGGCTGCACTTCCAGAAGAATTTCCCCCTTCCATTCAATAACCGTGTTAAAGTAGAACAATACTTCTTTCCTAAGAGTTACGCTATTTCTCAATTCTCAAATTCTCCA